TGTGGTGTTTTGAGTCAACCACTTATAGCAATAGTCAATGTAAGACAGATAATCCGACCCCATCAGGCGTAGGAGAGACAGAAAAGTACTGCTGATTCAATCACTCAGCAATGCCCACGCCCCCTTAACATGTACACTCAGCACTTTGCTAACCTTAAAGGCGTCATCCTCTTGCATGGAGTAGACAGGTTTTCGACCCGGTATAGCATCTGGAGAGGGTTTCTGATAGGCTGGTTCGGGATCGAGCAGTTGGGGCACGAACTCCTTTGGAGGCTCCTTTTGCAGTGGTCCTGTCACCCATGTGGCACGGGGTGCAGATGACATGGCGGTAGCAGAAGAGAAAACTTTTCCGGCAGCAGCGACTGGTTGCTTCACTCCAATTCGGTTGTACTGCTGGCTCGGACGTCTGCCATCTGAAAGAGGAAACAAGACCTTAAGCATTCGAGTTGAGGACCTGCATATAACATCTGCACTTAACGCCAAATTCTGCTAGAGATGGTGCGATACCCTATGATGGAAGGAGCGTCAATGAAACAAGGGAATTAGGGTTTCCTTACCATTCTTTTACTGGATATGCAAGTTAAGCCACCTTACTAGGATGAGATGATTACATTAGGAAGAATTAAAAAAAAACTGAAAATTTTACAGAGATATGCACAGCTTCCACGAAAGTGCATTTCATAAAATAGCATGAAACAACAATGAAAGGCGTGAAATCCGCCGATCGGAAGACAAAAGGGGTTCCTGAAAATTAGTCTCTTCATGAAAATCAGGGAGGCTGCACCGTTCTCATAAGGTGTCACCCAGATCTAGTCAAGTTATAGGCAGACATTCAGAATCTGGGTTTTTGGACTACTCGATGATCAGTATTTGATTCACTCAGCCTACGTGAAGAGCCGACTGGCAGGCACATCTGATGGACGCGAGGATTAAGGTCATGCTCTTTTCCTCTGAAGTAAATTTAGAACGTAATTGTCCTACAAGGGCGATTTCCGGGTAGAGAATCATTTTGGTGAAACACTTTCCCTACATGCTAAAATGAGTGATTTGCAAAGAAAATCGACACTGATAGCTACGATTTAAATAGCCCACCAATAGGGCTTGGGTGTGCATAAATAACCCTAGGGGTCACAAAACGATGGGTTTTTTCTCGAAAAAATCGTATGATGGAATGCTACGATCTTGTTGATTCGTAGGCGTTCAGTCATGTTCTGCTATGCACATAAATTACAAACACGTAGCATTTCTGTGAGCAAAACGGTCTCTTAAGAAAAGTCTAAGAAAGGAGAGATTAACAGCTGTCACTCGAACTGTAAAAGCGGTCAACTAACCGAAATAAAATGCACTTCATGATTTTGCGGTGCAAATAAGGACAGAAAATGCTTGATGTTTTAGATTTAGAATTTGGAAGTCCAAGATTATCGCCAGTGACTATTGGAGAACTGGTGACTTATTTTAAATAAAATACAATCTCACCGTTATTTTTGTAAATCCCAGCCGACATTATTCGCAGGTGGAGTGCTCTTTTGAGGTGGTTTGGGCCGAGTCAACAGGAGGTACCGTCTGCTTCAAGCTACGTGCAGACCAACCCACGCATGAACATTCCAGCCAATGAGCCGCATCCCCTCTGCCACATGCTGATTGGCTTCGGGGAGGAGGCCAATCGCGCCAAAAAGAAGCGCAACACAAACAAGACAGGGGCTCTATCAATGCCGCCTGTTTGTATGCGTGCAGATATATGTATATATGCATACATATGTGTGGTTGCTCGTCCCGATTTAGTATTTGTAGAACACGGAGTCAACAGTTGTTACCGCTAGGGTAAATCTCTGGACCGAAAATAGGTACCAATTGCAGACCACTATCCCGTCCACACCAGCCGCAATAAGCCAAATAATTCATTTAAAACATGGCTAATTGCTCCACCAAACTTTATGCCATCCTCTCTCTTTAATTATTGCAGGCAACATTAAAACAGAACCGGCTTATAACCAGGTGCCTTCCGAAGCTTTGGTGGATGCTTCGAGATACTGCGCTCGCAAAATATCATGCCATTCAAGTGACTTAACCGTATCCCTATAGTTCATGTGACTCCGAATTGTGTAATCAATCACAAAGAGGTGACTTGGTTGAAACTCAAGCACACCCATTCCCACGTCGGAGAGACTAGCGAAAGGTAATTATAGGCAAGCTTTCATCTTTGGCTCACCTTGTCGCATAGCCACTGGTGTCACTTTCATGTGTCTTATTTAGGCGCCAAAAGATTTAGCAAAACAAGGTGTAAAACTCTTTGAGTAGTTGTACAAAAGAAGTTGCTTCAAGAAATGATGAAAGAGACATCTCTACCAATGCAAATCAGATCCTAAGTAAATTCATATTATTCACTGCTAAACAGTCATAGTCAATCTTTTCTTTGTACCTGAATTGCGCCTGATCTACTTATGTATGCAGTGATGCAGAATTGTCCTCTCAAGTAATTTCAAAGCAAAGGTTAAGTTAGGCGATGTAAGCATTGCTTTACCTCCAGTGAAGGGCGAATATCGATCTCCTCGGTCCGAATCAAGCGGCTCCCTACCGTTGATGCCAGAAGTCTGGAATGAAAGCAGCAAGAAGACCAGATAAGCAACTATCCTTATCGATAGCGAAGAAGCGTGCGATGCAATCATCGTGGAGAATGGGGTGCCGATTGGGCAAGGACCAGAAGTAGTGGATGTAGTGTTGGAGATGTTACCTGGCCCACGCTACCAAGAGGCAAACGAAGAGTGGGTGATTTCCCAACTAACAGAGCCATCATGTAAGGTTGACTGCGTTTCATCTGCTCTGCTACATCCTCTCGGCGCCCCAAGATTCTTCCCAATATATTATCAGTTGTCTCATTATAATCATCACAACTCTTCTCTCTCCCCTCGCCATTCGCCGCAAACACTTCGTCCTCTTCATCCTAATAAATTTAAACTGTAAAATTAGGCTACAGCCTTGCTGAAGAAAAGTGCATGAAAGAAGTACGGTAATCAGAATGCACAAGCCACTTCTCCATTCTCCATGCACGTCCAATTCTTATCACGACAGTCCATACGAAGGGTAACAATAATAATCAAATCAGCCTTTCTCTTTCAATGGAGGAATGTAACTATACAAAATGAAGACTCCAAAAGGTGCTAAGTGAAGCTAAAATAAGATAGAAGATGCAAGGGAATGAGATAGATTTTTGGCGTCAATGACTTACGATAAAAGAACTACTCGAAGTTGTCATTGTCATTTGCAGATATTTTTCATCCTTTAATTAAACGCTTCGCTATAAGTGATACATGAATGGATAAAGTTGTGGTTTTTTCCTTACGTCAAATCAACGTGTGGTTTTCTGGCGCGCCTAATCTTGAAGAAAACATTCTCTGCAAGGATAATTTTAGGCACACATATCAATTATTGTGCTCTTTCGACCAAAATTCTCAGTAGCACTACAACCAGTAGTCTTAGAAACACAGTTTGATTTGAAAGCAATGAGAGTTGAGAGATGGAGAAAACCGACTTTTCTGAACTATCCGATTGGCTTTTAACCTACCATTAATTGTAAACCACAAGTATTTAGATGTTCTCTACCTATTGAAGCAGTTTATGGAACCATTCACCACGATACATTCATCCCCATGTTCCCCTTGCTTTAGCAGGTGAACTAAAATCTTCGGCTTATCCGCAAAACTCAGACTCTTTTATTTCTACTTAAAATAATTTAGTAGAATATTTATATTAAAAAGTAGAAGACCAGACGTACCCCATTGATGCGCATCGAGCCTATGCCTCTGTCTATGCTCTCCGTATCCGACCAAGTCGAGGGTGCATAGCGGAATTCCACCTGATCTCTATACCCAGAAGCACCATTGTACGCAGTAGGTGAAAACATTCTTGGAGTGCGGCGGTCCTCCTCGTTGCTGACATGTTGCTGCGATGGTAAAGGGGTAGGAAGTATATTTATCCGACAATATTAGAATGATTTCAAACATAAAATATCAGGAAATCATCTCATAAAAATACGTAAATGGTTTATGGCGTTCATAGTATATTTCTCAGGTTATTTTGTCATCATTAAGCGCCATGGTCTAATGCCTGATTTACCAAATATGGTCCATCTTGGGAAGTTTGGTAGCTCTGTTAAAAGGGGTAATGTGAGAGTTAATGGTGAGTTCTGATCCGAAATTTTCAAACTACTCAGATTCTCAATTGAAGAAAACGAAAAATAACTAAAGATGTGAGTCAGGAATGGATTATCAGACCAAAAGTTTGTCTAAAGTAGTCTTGATTCTGCACCTCTAGAAAACTGGAATGTGCAGAGCTTTCGTTCTCTGCAGCGAGAGTATTCCGTGTATAACACTCTTTCAAGTTGCCAATCAGGGTAGAACACTCTAAGATCGTGGAATGAATGCCAATTAAACCAGTCACCACGCAATGTTAGCTATCCAGCTTAAAATGCAAGGCGAGAAGAACCAAATCGTACACAAAACTTGGGTCGAATTAGAGAATTGGTAATTATTCACATGGGCCCACTTTTGTTACACTTTAGTCTGCCAAGACTGACAATGCATGTCTAATCTTGATGGCTTAGGTTGAGAAATACAAAACGAAGCTGCACTGATCAGACTGAATAGTAAATGTTGTTGGAGGAATTATATGCATCATTTCAGCACTCCGTAGAAGCCC